TTTATATGCAGATATAATTCAGTGATGATATTTTCCCCGGTAAATTATTCAAATTTTAAAATCAGAATCAGCTTTCGAACAGATATTGATTTTCGTGAGAATAGATACATTACCTCGGGGATAATTCTAGGTATCAAATGTCGTTATAAAGGTGTCAGGTTGGTCGATACATCACCTTGGTTTTACAGAAGTCTAAATTTACGTAACAATGAAGACATTTTGTTATTGATAAGCTGACCTGTTTTCCCAGTCGATAATAACCAATATTTTTATTTGTGTTGTCTCGGTTTGTGATTTCGATTTTCCCGATTTTCGCTGAAATAAAAGGGATATAAAAAGTACAAAATAGTGCTGTAGGAACAGATATTTTCTTTTTACACGCATCGATAATTTTTGAATTGTTACATGACATGAACAGTATAGTGGAGATGTGGATATATGTAGATTTTAATGGGGTACGAAAAAATAGTGATTTGAATTTTATTATCGCTTCTTCCTAAATTTCCTTCCTTCCTAGATTTGACATTTTTTCTATCATTTTTATTTGCTTCAGACGCCTGCAATGTTTCAATATTTAGACCTTTTATGTCTCTGACTAGTCATAGAAGGACAAAACAGCTGAAATATACACTTATCAGTTTCACTATTCGGCTCTCCTATGTCTAATTATACATTTTAATTGATAACTGTAATTAACTTGTGTTTTTTATTTCATCTTTGAGTGATTCAAAAGGACAACATGGATATAAACACACACACACACACACACACACCCTCACACCCTCACCCTCACACACACACACACACCCTCACACACACTCACACACACACACACACACACACACACACACACACACACACACACACACACACACACACACACACACACCCTCACACACACACACACCCTCACACACACACACACACACACACACACACACACCCACTCACACACACACACACACACACACACATATACATATGTGAGATTTCAGTGTGATAGCACTTTATGTGCATTCGTCCTCACAGTCGTCACAGGTCTCTGGTTATTCTTAAGGTGCAATGCCAATGATAATCACATAAACATGCCAGATATTCCATGTAAATACCTATACCTGTGTCTGTGTCACATGTTTTCATTAATTCATTCCTGAGAATCGCTAACGGGGTTTGCGTTAACGGGCTTTGATTTCAGGAACTGTTTAAATATTACTCGCTGATTAATATTTCTGTATGTAATATGAAACTATAATGGGGCAATTTAAATGGAGTATCGTATGTTTACAATATAACATCAATCAGTGACTAAATATCAACAACAAAGCTTGCTATAACAACAAATATCGATAAATAAAAATCCAGTTAATATCAAATATCAAAATACATATCTGAAATTAGTTTTAGGAGATGGAAGTAGATATTCACTGACAAAAAAATAAATAAATAAACACGAAAGTAATTGTCAATTACACTAATATTCTCCTGGCAAATAATTAGATTTTTTTGTTTGTTGGAAATTTAAGATAACCAAGCTTCCAAAGCCTGTTTACTACCTGCTGATGCTGATTGAATAGTACCGTCGTAGGGGACGGGTCATAAACAATGATATGTAAACAATAAGTTTATCATCACAATCAATAAACTGCGGGAGATAGAATCTGTCCACTCGTCATAGTTTATAGAGTGTGTCCACTCGTCACAGTTTATAGACTGTGTCCACTCGTAAGAGTTAATAGAGTATGTCCTCTCGTCACAGTTTATAGAGTCTGTCCTCTCGTCACAGTTTATAGAGTCTGTCCTCTCGTCACAGTTTATAGAGTCTGTCCATTCTTCACAGTTTCTAGGGTCTGTCAATTCTTCACAGTTTCTAGAGTCTGTCCTCTCGTCACACTTTATAGTCTGTCCACTCGTCACAATTTCTAGGGTCTGTCCTCTCATCACACTTTATAAAGTGTGTCCATTCTTCACAGTTTCTAGAGTCTGTCCTCTCGTCACACTTTATAGTCTGTCCACTCGTCACAATTTCTAGGGTCTGTCCTCTCATCACACTTTATAGAGTCTGTCCATTCTTCACAGTTTCTAGAGTCTGTCCTCTCGTCACACTTTATAGTCTGTCCACTCGTCACAATTTCTAGGGTCTATCCTCTAATCACACTTTATAGAGTGCGTCCATTCTTCACAGTTTCTAGAGTCTGTCCACTCTTCACAATTTCTAGGGTCTGTCCTCTAATCACACTTTATAGAGTGTGTCCATTCTTCACAGTTTCTAAAGTCTGTCCTCTCGTCACAATTTCTAGAATCTGTCCATTCGTCACAATTTCTAGGGTCTGTTCTCTCATCACACTTTATAGAGTCTGTCCACACATCACACTTTATAGAGTGTGTCAATTCTTCACAGTTTCTAGGGTCTGTCTTCTCGTCACAATTTCTAGGGTCTGTCCTCTCATCACACTTTATAGAGTCTGTCCATTCTTCACAGTGTCTAGAGTCTGTCCTCTCTTCACACTTTATAGTCTGTCCTCTCGTCACAATTTCTAGAATCTGTCCATTCGTCACAATTTCTAGGGTCTGTTCTCTCATCACACTTTATAGAGTCTGTCCACACATCACACTTTATAGAGTGTGTCAATTCTTCACAGTTTCTAGGGTCTGTCTTCTCGTCACAATTTCTAGGGTCTGTCCTCTCATCACACTTTATAGAGTCTGTCCATTCTTCACAGTGTCTAGAGTCTGTCCTCTCTTCACACTTTATAGTCTGTCCACTCGTCACAATTTCTAGGGTCTGTCCTCTCGTCACAGTTTATAGAGTCTGTCCATTCTTCACAGTTTCTAAAGTCTGTCCTCTCGTCACAACTTCTAGAGTCTGTCCACTCTTCACAATTTATAGGGTCTGTCCTCTAATCACACTTTATAGAGTGTGTCCATTCTTCACAGTTTCACAGTCACACACACACAATTTCTAGGGTCTGTCCTCTCATCACACACACTGTCCACTCATCACACTTTATAGAGTGTGTCCATTCTTCACAGTTTCTACACACTGTCACACACACAATTTCTAGGGTCTGTTCTCTCATCACACTTTATAGAGTCTATCCACTCATCACACTTTATAGAGTGTGTCAATTCTTCACAGTTTCTAGGGTCTGTCTTCTCGTCACAATTTCTAGGGTCTGTCCTCTAATCACACTTTATAGAGTGTGTCCATTCTTCACAGTTTCTAGAGTCTGTCCACTCTTCACAATTTCTAGGGTCTGTCCTCTAATCACACTTTATAGAGTGTGTCCATTCTTCACAGGTTCTAAAGTCTGTCCTCTCGTCACAATTTCTAGAGTCTGTCCACTCGTCACAATTTCTAGGGTCTGTTCTCTCATCACACTTTATAGAGTCTGTCCACTCATCACACTTTATAGAGTGTGTCAATTCTTCACAGTTTCTAGGGTCTGTCTTCTCGTCACAATTTCTAGGGTCTGTCCTCTCATCACACTTTATAGAGTCTGTCCATTCTTCACAGTGTCTAGAGTCTGTCCTCTCGTCACACTTTATAGAGTGTGTCCATTCTTCACAGTTTCTAAAGTCTGTCCTCTCGTCACAATTTCTAGAGTCTGTCCACTCGTCACAATTTCTAGGGTCTGTTCTCTCATCACACTTTATAGAGTCTGTCCACTCATCACACTTTATAGAGTGTGTCAATTCTTCACAGTTTCTAGGGTCTGTCTTCTCGTCACAATTTCTAGGGTCTGTCCTCTCATCACACTTTATAGAGTCTGTCCATTCTTCACAGTGTCTAGAGTCTGTCCTCTCGTCACACTTTATAGAGACTGTCCATTCTTCACAGTTTCTAAAGTCTGTCCTCTCGTCACAACTTCTAGAGTCTGTCCACTCTTCACAATTTATAGGGTCTGTCCTCTAATCACACTTTATAGAGTGTGTCCATTCTTCACAGTTTCTAGAGTCTGTCCACTCGTCACAATTTCTAGGGTCTGTCCTCTCATCACACTTTATAGAGTCTGTCCACTCATCACACTTTATAGAGTGTGTCCATTCTTCACAGTTTCTAGAGTCTGTCCACTCGTCACAATTTCTAGGGTCTGTTCTCTCATCACACTTTATAGAGTCTATCCACTCATCACACTTTATAGAGTGTGTCAATTCTTCACAGTTTCTAGGGTCTGTCTTCTCGTCACAATTTCTAGGGTCTGTCCTCTCATCACACTTTATAGAGTCTGTCCTCTCTTCACACTTTATAGTCTGTCCACTCGTCACAATTTCTAGGGTCTGTCCTCACGTCACAGTTTATAGAGTCTGTCCATTCTTCACAGTTTCTAAAGTCTGTCCTCTCGTCACAACTTCTAGAGTCTGTCCACTCTTCACAATTTATAGGGTCTGTCCTCTAATCACACTTTATAGAGTGTGTCCATTCTTCACAGTTTCTAGAGTCTGTCCTCTCGTCACAATTTCTAGGGTCTGTCCTCTCATCACACTTTATAGAGTCTGTCCTCTAATCACACTTTATAGAGTGTGTCCATTCTTCACAGTTTCTAGAGTCTGTCCACTCTTCACAATTTCTAGGGTCTGTCCTCTAATCACACTTTATAGAGTGTGTCCATTCTTCACAGTTTCTAAAGTCTGTCCTCTCGTCACAATTTCTAGAGTCTGTCCACTCGTCACAATTTCTAGGGTCTGTTCTCTCATCACACTTTATAGAGTCTGTCCACTCATCACACTTTATAGAGTGTGTCAATTCTTCACAGTTTCTAGGGTCTGTCTTCTCGTCACAATTTCTAGGGTCTGTCCTCTCATCACACTTTATAGAGTCTGTCCATTCTTCACAGTGTCTAGAGTCTGTCCTCTCGTCACACTTTATAGTCTGTCCACTCGTCACAATTTCTAGGGTCTGTCCTCTCATCACAGTTTATAGAGTCTGTCCATTCTTCACAGTTTCTAAAGTCACAACTTCTAGAGTCTGTCCACTCTTCACAATTTATAGGGTCTGTCCTCTAATCACACTTTATAGAGTGTGTCCATTCTTCACAGTTTCTAGAGTCTGTCCACTCGTCACACTTTCTAGGGTCTGTCCTCTCATCACACTTTATAGAGTCTGTCCACTCATCACACTTTATAGAGTGTGTCAATTCTTCACAGTTTCTAGGGTCTGTCCGTTCTTCACAGTTTCTAGGGTCTGTCTTCTCGTCACAGTTAATAGAGTCTGTCCATTCTTCACAGTTTCTAGAGTCTGTTCTCTCGTCACAATTTCTAGAGTCTGTCCATCCTTCACAGTTTCTAGAATCTGTCCTCTCGTCACAGTTTCTAGAGTCTGTCCTTTCGTCACAATTTCTAGAGTCTGTCCACTCTTCGCAATTTCTAGGGTCTGTCAATTCTTCACAGTTTCTAGGATCTGTCCATTCTTCTGAGTTTCTAGAGTCTGTCCTCTCATCACACTTTATAGAGTGTGTCCATCCTTCACAGTTGCTAGAGTCTGTCCTCTCGTCACAGTTTATAGAGTCTGTCCATTCTTCACAGTTTCTAGAGTCTGTTCTCTCGTCACAGTTTCTAGAGTCTGTCCACTCATCACAGTTTCTAGAATCTGTCCTCTCGTCACAGTTTCTAGGGTCTGTCCTCTCGTCACAGTTTCTAAAGTCTGTCCTCTCGTCACAGTTTCTAGTGTCTATCCTCTCGTCACAGTTTCTAGAGTCTGTCCATTCTTCACAGTTTCTAGAGTCTGTTCTCTCGTCACAATTTCTAGAGTCTGTCCACTTATCACAGTTTCTAGAATCTGTCCACTCTTCACAGTTTCTAGAATCTGTCCTCTTGTCACAGTTTCTAGAGTCTGTCCTCTCGTCACAATTTCTAGAGTCTGTCCTCTCGTCACAGTTTCTAGAGTCTGTCCACTCTTCACAGTTTCTACAGTCTGTCCTCTCGTCACAGTTTCTAGGGTCTGTCCTCTCGTCACAGTTTCTAGTCTGTCCTCTCGTCACAGTTTCTAGTGTCTGTCCTCTCGTCACAGTTTCTAGAGTCTGTCCACTGATCACAGTTTCTAGAGTATGCCCGCTCGTCACAGTTTCTAGAATCTGTCCTCTCTTCACAGTTTCTAGAGTCTGTCCTCTCGTTACAGTTTCTAGTGTCTGTCCTCTCGTCACAGTTTCTAGAGTCTGTCCACTCATCACAGTTTCTAGAGTATGCCCGCTCGTCACAGTTTCTAGAATCTGTCCATGCTTCACAATTTCTAGAGTCTGTCCTCTCGTCAAAGTTTCTAGGGTCTGTCAATTCTTCACAGTTTCTAGGGTCTGTCCATTCTTCACAGTTTCTAGAGTATGCCGACTCCTCATAGTTTACAGAGTCTCTCAACTCGTCAGTGTAATTAACTAATAACCAAACAATATTTGATCAGGCAAAATCAATTACCGCTGAGCTTTAATTGTATAATGATTAGTGGTAGTGGACTACAACGTGTTTCCGGACTGGATAATGGACACTATCGTGATAAAATTGACATGACTGATGTAAATGGTTTCACGAAACACTTAAATGAGAAAATAATAAATATTAGCCATGACCATGCGACGTCAAAAACGAAACAACAAGACCTAGATGGACGAAACAACTGTATGATGCAGCGAACTATTCGACTCTGCTGTATCTAACTTGTAATTGTCGATTCACCCGTGTGTCTCAGAAATCAGAAACAGATATTTTTAATCTCTAAGATTTTGATTCTGAAAACTTCGTGGTAATTATCATATCATTCCTAGGCTATACACAGAACCTCGATCAGGTAATTTATTACATTTGAGCATCTACAAAATAAAATATGTCGGTGTGTTTCAACGTCAAAAGACTCCTTTGAATACCAATTTCGATTCAGTGGGTCATATTGAGCAACTGCTGTTAGTAAACAGACCAGGTAAACATTAGATGATTATCACACCCAATTAGAAAAAAAAATATATCTATGATTTTAATCGCAGGTGTAAAATAAATCCGAAACGAACAAATATGTTAACCCATTTTCGCATTTTCGATTTTTTTTCTGAAATAATGAAAGCTGATTCATCATGGAAATTTCCTATGTATCCACGAAACATGAGTGATTTACAATAGTTATAACCGTCCCAGTCCCAAGCGAGACCTAGTTCCGGACGCTTTTCTGGGCTATTATTCACCGTGTTCCTTTTTCAATATAACACCGGAGTTATCAGATAGGGATGTTTGAGTAGGAGCAGGCTGTTCAATCGGAACTAATTAACTGGGGGTATTAAAATCAATACACATAAAACAGAACTGGAACAATTTCTATAAAGCATAGTCAGCTTACGCTGACGAAAAAAATAATGTCATTGAAAATATGACACTTATTGTAACAGGTTAATGAAACTAATGTGGCTTGTGTTAAAGACATTATCTTTGTTGTTGCCGCAATCAACCCTGATAAAGAGCATCTTTATCTTTAAACTATTGGAGATAAATATATTTTATACATGATTGATAAAGTAAACTAGATCTAACGTTTTATCCAAGGACACTGTCGTTGTTTGTACAGTATGCTGGCTGATTTCGGCCTTCTCTCTTTGTCGCTTTGCCGTAGGCGATAACACGACACTGCGACAATATGACAAAAATATCCCACAAACGCGACATATGTTTTTATGTATTTTTGACGCGCCTAAGTTTCTGATTAAAATATCTAGAATGTTTGCAAATACAGCTGACAAGTTGTAACTGATTATGAAATTTTGTAATAAATACACAATGTGTCTTTATTGATCTCTCTAAAGTCCGAAATATAATTTTTTTTCTAATTTGATCTTTTTATTATTATTATTTGTATTAACAATGTTAGACACGATTTTGTATTGAAACGGCAGGGATTTAAGAAATTGAAAAAACTAATTGAAATTTTAATATAATTTTGACATAACTACCAACGGAGAGTGAGAGATCATTCTGCCCGTGTTATTACCGTACAAATTTAGCTTCGGAAACCATATAACCTTGATTTATAATTCATTTCATCGTCGAATTCAATTTTAGAAAATAATTGACAACTTTGTGATTAAGGTTCATTCACAGAATGTTTTATGGGACGTTGCTTTATTGCTAAAAACGAAGAATTATGGCATAGTACATGTGTGTGTAGTGTGTGTAGAACGCAAGGGTAAGTGAGCTCTTGATGGACAGGTATGTAAAAAACAAAACATCATTAGTGAGCTTTTTTATGGCAAGGTGCGCGTGTGTAGAATTAGAATAGCGTGTGTTAATGATCTCTTTTTAACAACAACGTGTGCATGTTGTGGTTGTGTGATGGTGTGTGTGTGTGTGTGTGTGTTAGTGTGTGAGAGTGTGTGTGTGCGTGTGTTTGTGTGTGTGTTGGGGGGGGAGTTTTTCAAGGCATGGTGTGTGTGTATATTCAGAAAAGTCTATGTTAGTGAGCTCTGTGCGCGCGTGTGTATAATCCTTAAAGCTTGTGTTAGTAAACCCTTTATAGCAAAGTGTGCGTGTGTGTAGAATCAGAAAACGTGCGCTAGTACACGTGCAACGTACACGTGTGCAAAGAAACAGAAAAAAAACACGCATTACAAAAATCTTAGTTCATTTACTACCACGGAAAGTATCCACGAAAATTCATTACAAATGATTTAGTGAACTTTGAGGAGTCGAAAATCTAAATAAATACAAATATCAGTGTAAAATACACGACGGACGACGCTTATAAAGGTCAATCCAATATTTCTAAATCTCTACCTTAGCAATAGTACAAACATCTCAACAGCATAGTCTAAAAGCGGACGAATAAAGAATCTGTACGTTGTTTTTAATGAACTTCTAGTAATAATCCATTTTAATTTACAAAGGAGACTTAATTGTTTCGCTTCTGTTTTACCAATATATTCTACGTGGCACCTCAATTTACAGTTTGAATCGAAGGATACTGCTATAGATGCTTATGGCTGGTCACGTGTTCAATACATATCATTAAGATTTATGTCAATCATTTATCAGCCGAAGATCGAATATTTGAAAAAGATATTGATTTTTCTGTTTGAGAGAGTAGAGAATTATCGGAGCATAAAATCGACGTATCATCCGAAAAATAAATTTGATAGGTTTTCGATATTACCCGTTATGCCATTAATATAACACGATAAAGAAAAAAGGACCGAGAACGGAGCCCTGAGGCACACCTACATTTGTAGATTTTACAGTACATAAACTATTTCCAAGAAATACTTGATGTTTTATATGAGACAAATAATCCATTAATTTTACCTGAAAGATGTTGGTCTATATGATATACGTAGCATTTTAATCTTTTGTGTTAACATACCCATTTAAGATGTTTATCATTTGTCTTTTACCTTTTTAACCTTTTGGTTTGTTTAATGTTATTTCCTTTTGGATCGCTGTGTGTTTATCCGTTTGATGGCCCTAATGACCTTTTATGTGTTGACGGGCCATTAAGAATGCAATAATAATAATAATAATAATAATAGTTAACCAGTCCAATAATTTGCATGCAACACCAAACTAGCTAGCTTCACTGTCAGTCCAATTCGCCGTATTCTGTCGAATGCCTCGGAAACTAGAAACCTAGACAGGGTCCCCCCTCCGAAATTGTCAAATATTTGATGAAAGATTTCATTAACCTACTGAACAGTAGACTGACCTGGCTGGGAAACTGAATGGTATGTTAAGAGAGTTTTCTAGCAAATAGTTATGTAAATGTTTAACTATTAGTCGTCCAAAAACTTTACCAATAGTACGAAGTAATGTAATTTGTCTATAACGAGAGTGACCTTGCTTGTCTCCCTTCTTGTCAATTCTCATTACTAGGGCGTGTTTACATTGCTTCTACAAATAAGTACGAACACTAAAGACAAAGGATAGACAAATAAATTTGCAGTGTTTTAAAGCATAATGTAACTGGTTGTATATTTCCCAATCCCAATAGGTTGCTTCAGTCTTCATCTCGGGTGACCTTAAACCAGATGGGAAGTAGCAATAAAAAAAAAAAAAAAAAAAAAAAAAAAAAAACCAAAAAAAAACAAAACAAAAACCCACATACATTGTAAAATCAATAGTTTACTTGTGATTCCAAAACTAGTGTATAGATGTAGAGATAAATGTCGTGAAGGTTCATTTTTTTTTGGATGATTTGGCTTCAGTACGTTCTTCCCTGAAGTTTGGAGCTTGAGGTATTACTTTATGTGTCAATAATTTGTCATTTGATCGTATTTCAACATCTGGTTATCAATTATTACTATAATTTGCAATGTTTTATTATATTTTGAAATATGAACGTATATTTCACAGTCCCGGGGTTCTCGTGCTTAATTAATTTTGAAATAAGATATCCTTATTTGATTATTAAGTGTTGAATAATAGACAGTCTAACGCTAAATGAAATGACGACGTGAAATAGAACTTCCGTCCATTACATTCAGAGTGTCATATTCCTACCAAAACCGGGCAAAGCAACGTCGGCTGAAAGTTGGTTACTCTGAATTTTTTGCGAAAGTCATTTGCTTCTTTAGGAATTATCATGAATCCTCGTCCCCAGATAACTCAGTAATACTGAGCACTCCAAGTAATGTGATAGAGCATTCCACAGTACTCATGCATTAAGAATTATGTCTGTTCTCTAGGGGATCAGTTCTATTGACGCGTTGAAGTGAGAACTGAAGGTCGCTATGTAAAGTAACGCTAGCTTAATCACGTGACGTATGTGTGTTTTTGTTATATATCTGTAATAGATAAAACGCTATAAACACGTCTTATTCTATACTGAACAATTTTATATGAAATAATGCAATATTTCACACAAACATAATGGTAATCTGAATCAACAAAGCAACACATCTGATGTTGATATATTTTTTCCCACTAGTTTTGATTTCCATCAGTTGCTACCTGTATTTCAACACTTATAGTGTACCTTCATGTAAGAAGGACGAAACAGCTGTATGATGCTGTGTCACTGACAAGGCCTAGAAGGATGAAACAGCTGTATGATGCTGTGTCACTGACAAGGCCTAGAAGGACGAAACAGCTGTATGATGCTGTGTCACTGACAAGGCCTAGAAGGACGAAACAGCTGTATGATGTAGCATCACTGACAAGGCCTAGAAGGACGAAACAGCTGTATGATGTAGCATCACTGACAAGG